ATATCTCATCTTCTTCTCTTGGAAGCAGAGATTCCAGTAGTTTTAATTCCAAGAATTCCTTTAATTCCTCCAGATCTTCCTTTTGAGTTCAAAAGACATTAGTTTTCTGTGAGAGTGAGTAATGCAATATCAATTAATAAGTGCCAATGACAATCACTGAAAGTAACTGGACTTCATCTGATAGGAACCTGCTTTTCTCACGGCCATACCATACATATACAAGGTCGCCCGAAGGTGTTGTCACCCACTACCAAAAAGTAATGAGAAAAAATAGAACAAGTAATGCAGTAATACAAAGCATATGTAAAGGATTCAGTTTATTTACTTTCATTGACGTTGTCACACATCGAAAAGGCATTTATGAACACCATTTTCATGTGATCCGTCTGAAACAGAAAATACAATATTATCTATGGGTGTCAAGACTTCCATGTTATAAAGTGAATCAAAGATGATTTCAAAATATTAGATAAGCTCGATTGAACGATTTCAATTAAATCCGTTAAGAAATCCTTTCTGTTCTTATAGGAATACGCGGAGATCAATAGATTCTTATATTTTCGTATAAGCTTGAAGTCTTCCGTGTTATAAAGTAAATTCAGGTTTGTATTTCCAGTAGACAGTATGTAAACAAATATACGTATATAGATCCGACAGTATGAAGAAAAATATACGGAAAAACAAACAAAAATCCTAATATGCAATTATGCTGTTTTAATGTTAATATAATGTTACTTTTATATATATATATATATATATATATATATATATATATATATATAAAATACAAATAATACAAGTACAAATAATAAGTGCAAATTAATATATATATATATATATATATATATATATATATATATATATATATATATGAAAGAAAAATATACGGAAAAAACAAACAAAAATCATTATATGCAATTATGCTGTTTTAATTTTAATATAATGTTACTTTATATATATATATATATATATATATATATATATATATATATATATATATATATATATATAAAATACAAATAATACAAGTACAAATAATAGGTGCAAATTAATATATATAAATATATATATATATATATATATATGAAGAAAAATATACGGAAAAAACAAACAAAAATCCTTATATGCAATTATGCTGTTTTATTGTTAATATAATGTCAACGTCGGAAGTTTCGGTCTAATAAAACATCTTCAGGACATATTCATAAAATATAATGTCGGATCTATATATATATATATATATATATATATACATATAAATATAGATAACTAGACTCGTTTTCGAAAAAACCTCGAATTTTTGATTTGCTAATCAAATCAATCTCGAGGGAAAAAAGGTTTTAAAAAAGAAAGAGCTACAAACTTTCCCCTGATGATCCATTTAGGTGAAACCTAGGTAGGTTTGTCTGGCTCACTATATATATATATATATATATATATATATATATATATATATATATATATATATATATATATATATATATATATATATATATATATATATATATATGTGTGTGTGTATTTAATCCAAATTCTTTTGTGACGCTCTTTGTAGCTAAGCGCTAAAGTACGCTGGATCAAACAGTGGTTTCTCCCTACAAATGCGGGTGGCACGTTCGATCCCTGGAGGCGTGTACATTTTTCATTGAGATTCCTAGAATTCGCAGGCCGTTAGACGTAATACATACACTTTAAAAATTGAAATTAATATGGGGCGTCTATTTCGAATACCAGTATCCATTAAATCATAAATCATAAATATATATATATATATATGGATAGTTGTGCATAAAATATATATATGGACAGATGTACATAAAAATATAAACAAGTATGAAGATAGATAAGGAAAAATGGCATAGATAGATATGAACAGAGTAATGTTAGATATGTACTGAATGAGATAGATAGATAGATAGATAGATAGATAGATAGATAGATAGATAGGTAGGTAGGTAGGTCGGTAGGTATATATCAATAGAGTGTGATAGATATATATGAACAGACTGAGATAGACCGATAGAGATGTGAACAAGGTAATGATAGATATATACAGAATGAACTAGATAGATAGATAGATAGATAGATAGATACTGAGCAGAGATAGATAGATAGATAGATAGATAGATAGATAGAAACAAAATAGGGTTGACAGATAGATACCAGAATAGCGAGATAGATAGATAGAAAGAAAGAAAGAAACAAACAAATTGGGACTGACAGACAGATATAACAAAAGATAGATAGATAGATAGATAGATAATGAACAGACGAGATAGATAGATAGATAGATAGATAGATATCAATAGACTGTAATAGATATATATGAACAGACCGAGATAAATCGATAGAAATATAAAAAGGGTAATGATGGATATATACAGAATGAAATAGATAGATAGAAAGATAGATAGATAGATAGATATGCCATTATGTCCTTATCTATGGAAGGACACAGTAGTATAGATAGATAGATGCTGAAAGTGCATATTTTACGCATAATTCTGTACTTGTTGACGATAAGAAAAGTTGAAGTGGTCTTGAAAGTTCATAGAATGAGTGTACGTAGCTCAATTTATGCAGGTCCTGAAGCAGACTACGCCAAATTGAGAACATTGCACATAGAACGACTGCGTCTTATCTATTCATTTGCGTTTCAGTGTCTGTGTCTATGTGTGTGTCAATTTATTTATGCATAAATTTTAGGGAAATCTGCAGCGATCTGGTTCCCAAAGATTTAAATGCAATCCCTGCAGGCTATTTTGTTGAAAAAAGCCAAAAACCGTCATCGCTATTTACTCACATCTTTATCTCTCTCTCTCTCTCTCTCTCTCTCTCACACACACACACACACACACACTCTCTCTCTCTCTCTCACACACACACACACTCTCTTTCACACAGACACTCATACACATACAAACACATTCTCTCTTGCTAGCTATGTGTATAAGGACCTATTTATACTTTCTTAAATTTCTCTTGCACATTCATTTTCTGCTCTTTTTCTACTCTCTCTGTATCTCTGTATCTCTCTCTACACACACACACACACACACACACACACACACACACACACACACACACACATATATATATATATATATATATATATATATATATATATATATATATATATAATTCATAGGTGCCTCATTATCCCTCCTATCTAAAAATTAATGCTGTCTATGAATTCTCATGACCCACCCTTAGGAGATTAAATCAAAAACAACATTACATGTTTACATTGGGCACACATGCATCACAATCTCTCGCAGATTGACCTGTCACCTATCGAAACTCAGTGCAACCCGTGCACACATCGACCAGCAAATCATGAACAAACAAATTATAACTATCAACATAAGACAAATATTATTGACCTAACCCCAAAATACTCCAAAGCACCTATTCAAGGAAAGACTCAAAACTCTAGAAGCAGTTATTAAAAATAAACAGCCTACATTGAATAAAATATCATTCGACTCCGGACTTGAAGTGCATATGATATGATTTATTTGCGCCCATATTATATTAGGATCCAAAAGATTAAAAAAAACAAAAAAAAAAAACGATAAAATAAACCGCATTCCTTTTGTGCGAATTCGTTACCAAAATCCGTTACACATGACATCACGCTAAATCATTTCAAACGTCCAGCTTCCCAAAGAATACCAGGATGTAGATAAAAGAATTCTAACTACCCCCGACCCAAACACCAAACTGGTTCTTGTTAATGATTACGAAAGTTGAATGTACTTGAACAAAATGACAAAATATGACCTTCGAGTACAATACTCAAGAATTTATCCGAAAATTGGAATAATGTAAAAAATTAAACAGACTTTGTCGGTTCATTTAAGTCAAATTTGTTCAGATGAATACGTACTGCCTAAATATACCTCACACACACACACACACACACACACACACACACACACACACACACAAAACAAAACAAAAAACACACACACATAAGCACACACACATCCACATATAATTAAGGGAATAAATCCGTTGGTATATAATCCAAGTGGATCATCCTAATATAAAATATTAAAACTGGTCCTCAAAAGAGCTCAATGTATGTATTATTACAGAGCAATAAATAATACACAATAAAATCCGAAATCACATTATATGGGGAATAGTCTATTTCAGCACATGAAGATATCGGTCGTCTCTCTTGTCAACCCCGGTGTGGACTGAGTTCGTGTCGGAAATAGAAATTTAACTGTGAAAGCTAAAAAAGAAAAAAAAACGTCGAAAAACTAATACAGAATTTATCAATTTCAATGTTTCAGTCAGACGAAAGGCACAAGACAGGAGTCGGGGTGGGGGGAGTGGAAGGTATTTATCTTAAAGGGAAGAGGTTTTATAAAATTAAACCCGGATATGAACCTTATGACATTAAATTGGCTATATGAAGAATGAAATATTAATAAAACTTAGAGAGGAATAAGAAGGTGTTTAAAAAAGACTTTAAAATATATAGATAAAGTTATATTTAAAAATCCAGTCACACTTAAAAGTACAACGTCATATTCCAAAAACAAGTTATATTTAAATAAATGAGATATAATTAAATAATTTATATTTAAAAAATAAGTTGTATTTAAAAAATAAGTCATATTTACATAATTTATATTTAAAAAAAATAAGTAAAATTACATTTAAAAAAGTAAGTTATATTTAATAAAAATAAATATGTTAAATTTAATAATAAAAATATATTCTTAAAATAAAAATTTAAAATAAAATAAATTACATAAACACTACATATTTAAAAATAAGAATATAAAGAAATAAAATAAAATAAAAAAGTTATATTTAAAAATAAGTTATATCTAAAACAAGTTATATTTAAAAATATAAAGTTACACTATAAATACGAAATTATGTTAAAAAACAACCTTAAAATATACAGATAAAGAGATGTACGTGATAAAAAGGAGAGTTCTTAGAACAGGGGAGAATAAGATAAAATTAATATAGTGAGAAATTGGGAATATAGAAAATAGAATTACACCCTTGTGCAAATTAATTGAAACAACCGCATTAGTTTTCCTTTCTCTCACCATACGGTCTGCTTTAGACCAAATGAAATGACAGCGTGTAATCGATTTCTATTTTTTTACTAAGATTAGGTCATTTGCAGTAGTGTACAGTAATATGAAGCTATTTTCGAGGTGTACGATGACATTTGTTTAGCCTTGAAAAATATTACGTCATCAGATTTTTTTATCATGTCCAGACACTATTGTCTCGACTGTCAATTAGTTGTCCTACGGCCATCGTCTGCGATGGACGTTACTCCAAGAGGGCGCGCGAAAATTTGTAATGCTGCACGAACACGCTGGCAAGCCGTAATAGTGAGTAAATCAAAGTACTAGACTGGCCTGGAAACTCTCCTGATTTAAATGCAATCGAGAATCTGTGGTCAGTCTGCAAGGAACGACTTGTGGAATGGATTTAGGAAGTACTAACATATGCACTGAGTCATGTATCAATAGAAAAATACTACAAAAAAAACGTAAATAATTACGGAACTATTCGTTTTGTTTCAATTAATCTGCACAAGGATATAGGTATACATTCGACATTTGAAGAGTTAGAGAAATACATAACGAAATGGACGAAGTCCGACAATTATTTTTAAGGTATTTTATTGTTATGTTACTTTAGTTAAACTGGTATAGCACGTCATGCTTATATGACGGTTCCATATAAGATACAGGTTCGAATCCTGTCGGAGGACACATGTTTTCTATGAAAGTTTCTCGGACGTTCAGGTCGGTCAATGTTGCTTAATACTGTTTATTATAAACAGAGCATTTACTTAAATATTTCTGTCTATATAAATAACGTCTAAACAAAAATATATTAAAATAATTGTCGGACTTTGTCCATTCCGTAGTGTGTGACGTCATTTGTTTACGTTTAGATTCGCTTCGAGCAGATATAATGGTTCGAGGAAATCATGGAAAATTCTAGTTTAAAAGCAGTAAAATCGACTTTGCTAACCAGACGCTCCTCTGTAGCTAAACTGGTATAGCACGTCAGACTTATATGACGGTTCTGCGGAGGACGAATATTTTCTATGAAAATTTCTCGGACGTTCAGTCTGGTAAATGTTGTTAATACTTTTATTATAAACAGAGCATTTACTTAAATATGTCTGTCTATATGTGAATAGATAAATAACGTATAACAATAAAATATCTTTTATATATATATATATATATATATATATATATATATATATATATATATATATATATATATAAAAATAAAATTTTAAGAATTTCCTGGGAATTTCAAATTCTCCAAACCCTCTTTCTTTAGTATTTGATTCAAAAGTCTTTACTGGCTCTTTTTAATTCTAACTCCCGTTTGGATGTCGTCTTTGCTATGGTACCTAGACACTACGGATTTAAGTGCAGGGCTAGATGGCGAGTAGGTCTCACCAATTTATAGTTGATGTGGAGATCTATAACCGTATATTCTATGCTAACAGTTTCGTTTCTCGCACTTCTCGCTTGTGGAACTCCCTTCCGCCTCTATAATTTCCGGCGAATTTTACTCTGCTGAAGTTTAAATGTAATGTCTGTCGCTGTAAAGCGAGAAGCCAAAGAGAGTTTGCTGAGACCATTCGCGTGAATTTGATTTTGGTGGACAACTCTGCGAGACCGAGAATCCCCCGCTCCGCCAACATTTGTTCAGAAGCACCCACCTCGCGGCTCAAACGTGATTGAGACAGGCGAGATCAGGCAAACTTGGTAGCACCGGGCCGTCGATTACGCCAGCCCGACGCGCGCTGCTCTCTTCTGCCGGTATATGGCTGTTTCGATCGTGTAGATCTTTGTTTATCCCGTCTTTAGTGTCTTCGGGGGTTTGGTCGCTTTCAGTCTGGTCCTTCCTTCCTCCGTGACCTTATCGCCATGGCTAGCCCTACAGGAGGTGAAACAAGCCCTCTACCAACGACCATCATTTCGCATTAATCCACGTAGAAAACACACGAATCCATCTCTTCTCTCTATTCTTCACTAACGATAGATTAGATAACAGGGAAGAATCGTCCCTTTAGCCTTGGATAGCAGCCAGTTTAATACAAGAAAACCGCTGATTTAAAACCAGTTGGGCGTAATGATGCTGGTTGCTGGTAATGTATTTCTGATAATATTTTCCTTTTTTGAAAAGGTATTGCTGGTAATAAAACCTATTTTTACACTTTCATAGTATTTTGACCCCAGGCTGGGGCTTAACTATTTCTCCATAGCTTGTACCCTAACAGGTGCTACCACCCCGAATCAGGATGAACCTGGGAACACCAACAATTAAGAGGTGGTTCCACGTTCCTCAAAACCTCATGATCAGAGTCCTTGCTGCTGGAATTTACTCTTTCGTCATACCTCGGACGCCAGATTTATGTATTCAAGCGCAGTGGTGTATTGGCATTTAGGTCTCATCCTTTTACAGTTGATATGTCCACATGTAACC